CATTACTTCCAAGCAAAGTCATCCACAGCCCCAAGGCCCTTGCTAAAGGAAAAGCAAGCCCCTCGGAGAAGCCTGCAAGCCATCTATCAGGATGTCAAATCAGTCCCCTCCTGGCTAGTCCCAGACCTGTGGTCATGGCCAGAACCCTAGGCCCTAGAGAAGATGTTCACTTGAGAACTCTCAGTAGCAGCTTAGGTTGGCTAAGTGGCCCTGAACCCCCGCCGTTCTTTGTGCATGGTGTGCAGAGCCATCTCCCAGACTACATCCCTGTCCTCAGGGGTGCCATCGCGTCTCATCACGTGGGCCCCAGTACCTCACCCCTACCTGTCCTCCAGACCACCCACAGGGCACCATGGTCACCTCAATCCCAGAGCCCTCATCACCTCCACCTGGGGTCTTTTTTTCTAGCAGACCCAGGGGCAACCAAAGAAATGGGTGGGTCCATTGCCTGTTGCCTCTCAAGACCACGTTTGTCACCAAGTGCCTAAGCCTGGGCTCACAAGAAACTGGTCCCTGCTGGTACATGGGGCAACAATTAAGATCAACTTCATGTCATGAGACATCTTCAGGGGTGGATGCTCTGGCTGACTGGGGACAGAACACCTTAGTGAGGCAGGGGAGGAGTCTTCTGTATCCAGCTCATGTTCTGCTGCATCAGCCCCTCGAGAGGAATCTGTAATGGTCCTACCACGTCTGTCAGCACAGGACTGGGATTACTTAGGCACTCATCCCGGGAGGTAGGGAGGGCAGGCTGTATCACCACCAGTTATCTAATTTCTGGGAACAGTATGCTCCATGGCCACACCCTCTGGCTAGTCTTCTCCCTGCCTCTTCCACTGGGCAGGGAACTGGGGTAGTGGGATGGCCACCAAGCCCTCCAAAGCCTGCACAGGAAGCAGCCTGGAGAGTTCTGTGTGGTCTGAGTGACAAGAAGGGGCCAAGGGGCAACTCTGAATCTGTGATTATGCAGAAGAAGCCTGGGGAGTTGGACACGTATCCGTATCTGCTAGCTCCATCAGTAGATCATCAGTATCTACTACATCCCCTGCGTGGATTCCTTGGTTGCCCCATCTTCGCTGATTCACGAGGGGGCTCAACTTAGCACAGTGCCCATATGCTCATATACAGCAATGCTATGTACATGTGAGAAACACAGAATATCTGCTCCCGTAAATCCATCCTGAAGTGGTGTCTGAGCCTGCTGGAAGAGGCTGTGCCAACCCTTCTGAACCCTACATGGGAACATCTGCCTCCTTCCTTCCCCACATCACATAGCCAACTCTGCGTCCCTTACCCCCTTTCCCACCTCTCAACTATGCAGTCGCCAGAGCAGACATCCTCTTAGAAATTAGACCTTATAAATAAAGTTTTATTAGCAACAACCAGGCTACTGCTTTATGTAACATCTAGGGCCTCTTCTACACCACAGCCACAGATGAGACCAGAACCCTGCCACCTATATGGGCTGCAGAACTAAAAAGGTTTATTATCTAGGTCCTTACAATGGCTGCCAAGTCCTGCAGCTGTGACCTGTGGTTATGAATCGCTAAGTGTCAGGTGATTGAAAACAAAGTAGTTTCATAGTCAGAAAAACTCCGTGAGATGAACATTGTCAGTCCCGTGTTCTACATGAGAGAGTAGAAGCCAAGAGAAGAAGGGTAGGTTAACAAGACCATACAGCTAGGAAACAACAGACCCTGGCATCGGACCAGACTGGAGACCTGCCTGGGATTCTGCATGTCTGCATCCCTGGCCAGTCCAGGGCATGTGTCCTGGTACCTGGCTGTGCCAGAGGACTGCTGAGACAGCCCATGAATGCTGGAGGCTGAGGCATATGGGGACAGAGCTACCGAAGTCCAGGCAGATTCAAGGCACCTGGTGGGCCCTGCAGGCCTGGAGATGGGGCTGGGGACCGGGGCTGTTCATTCTAGGCTTGGGGTGATGCTCCAGGCAGCTCAGTGTTAGCATTCATGACATCCAGTGCCCCTTACCTGCAGACCGAGAGTGCGGACCCAAGTCTGCTTGCCACTCACAGGCTGGCTCACACGCCCTTCCACAGAAGTGCAGAAAACACATCCAGTTCCCGAGAATGCCAAGAAACAGTGTGCGTGTCATTTCTTTTCGATTTCAGTTTTCACTGTGACAGCTGTGGCCCAGCTCCTGGCATTTGGCGCACCGTGCACGGGCCAGAGATGACACATTCAACAGAGAAGTGAGACTGGGAAGCGGAGAAGAGGCGTTTCCGTGCCTTGCAGAAGACGTGGGGCAGCTCAAAGGGAGGTTTTATAAAACCAGGAGACACCTTAGGTGACAATCACAACCCATGATAGACCCCAATAAAAAAGTCACAAGAAAAAAAAATTCATCAGGCATTAGGGTCCTGCCCTGTGGTCCTCATACTCTGCACACACAGTCCTGAGGACCAGGGCTATGGTGGACATTTAGAGGCCACAGAATTCAGGTCACAGTGGTGGTCCCCTTGCAATTAGCACCATAATCTGTCCCGATCTTTCTTCCTGTACCTTTCTAAACTTGTGAATGAGCACAGCAGGATTTAAAGTGGGTGCAGGGAAGACCGTCCCACGTGAGCATCTGTGCTTTTCAGTGTGGTAGCGCGTGTCATTTTAAAAATAGTTTCTGCACATTATGGACAAACAGTATCTGTGACAGCCTCTGACAACAGCAGCCCTGCTCTATTTCAATGAGGAAAAAAAAAAGTCTCAATTTTAGTCATGCTTCTTTCTGAGAATTCTTGCTGGAGTGAATTCAAGACAGCTGTGAAACGAGGCCCCACGAGGGAGCCTGTCCCCTTGTGGACATCAAGGTACATTGCAAGACAGCCCTAGGACAAGGAGGCTGGTGAAGGAATGTATACAAATGATAGCCTGCTCTAGGAAATAACAGTGCCCAGGTTTAAGGCGCAGTGGACAGAGAACAGGTATGCGTGGTGCAGGATAGAGAGCAGAGAAAGCAAGGGGCCCCAAGGGAGGAAGAAGAGGCCTGACCTAAGTCAGGGACATGAAGGAAACTTGAGACAGGCTTTGCAAAAGAAGTGTCACCAAAATAAGTTTAGAAGCTGAGCGTGAATTATCTAGCAGGTTGGGGGATGGAGGAAGCAGAACACACAGCCGTAGAGACACATGGAAAGACACTGTGTATGGAGTGAGTGGCTCAAAGTGGCCAGAGCAGAGGATCCGTGTGGAGCTAGCAATGTGGGCACAGCCAGATCTCAGGCCTGGAGAAGGATGGAGAGAGAGAATGAGGCATGTGGAGTTTCCTCCAGTGACAAACAGGTGTTCCTGGGGGGCTCCTAAGCTGTGGCCTTTCCTCCGGCATGGAGGAAATGATGCTAAGCCAGTTGAGAGACGCCAGGCCCTGTTATGAGGTCAAGGCCACAAGCTAGAAGGAAATTGACGAGGCAGTGTGGATGCCATTGCCCCATGTTGAAGAGAGCCTCTGGTGCTCACAGCATTGAGAGAGAGCACCAGGCTTGCCAGGTCAGCCACGCTCACTCCTGTCGTGCCAGAAAGCCCTGCCACCTTTCCTCAAGGCTTGGCTTTTCATCATCTTCCAAGTGTTTGTTCTCTTCCTGCCCAGCTCCTGTCAAGTTCAAATGAAATTCTTCGAGCCTCTACTCCTGCAGGCTTGTGGTTAATTGCACCGCTAAGTAGCCGACACTTCAAAGAGGCAGCAAGCCAGCGAAAACAAATTCTGCTTCTACATTAGATGCAGAGGGGTCTTTGCATAAAAGGTTTTCCATTTGGGGAAGAAGATAGGAGGGGCAACATATACAAGTGTGCTTCACGTCACTCAGCAACCAGGCACTTTTAATTCCACCCACGAGTTAAGTTGACCTGGCTCAGAGATGTGACTGGCAGGAGAAAAAAGCAAGCATGATCAGAAGTCTGTGCTGTCTTAGTGGATTGTTAGTGTCTGAGACACCCATCCCTCTCTATAAAGTGATGTGCGCCCCAGGTTCTGCTTTGTGGAGAACACAGTGGGAGGGGCTAGCAGGCTAGGGTCTTAGGGAACACCCAAGGCCCAGCTGCTGGCCTCTGCACTCATTTCCCAAGGACTCAAAAGCAAAGGCTTAGACAACGTTGAAGCGATTCAGGCTCCAGTTCATCAGTCCTCACTCACTGGTCAGTGACTTCCGGTGTGCCTGAGATGTCTCGTCGGTGCTAAGGGTGTGCATTGTGTTCATTTGAACACAGTGGTGATAAACTCAGCATCAGCAACAATGCATCAAAGTCACATTAAGGAAAAGAAATTAAAAGCGCTCACTGTCCCTTAGGGTAGTTTACCCAAGTGAGCCCAGATTTGAATTATTTGCTTCCCCTTCCCTGTGTCTTCCGCCCTCCCCTGGCTGTTACATGAGGCTGATGTGTGCCTGCCACAATGCTGTTTTAGGGATCTGTCCCTGTGTCCGTGTGTCCCTAACAAAGGCATCAGGTGGGGAAGGAAGAAGAAGGGATACTTTTCAGAAATCAACAGAATTGTACGAGAGGTGAAATCTTACTGACCCCAAACCCACCCTAACTGGCCCAGGTAACACACACACATACACACTATAAAACAATATTTGTAGGTTGCTTTTATCATTTCCGCAAATGTTTGTTTTATAAGGTTGCTCTCAACCTATTTCCTGTTTCCAGCATTTATTACCATAACATAAATACACACCTGCATCATCCTGAGTCAGGGGCATGGAAAAATACATAACCTAAGCTCACAGTCATGAATTAGCTTAGGTTGTAAAAGTTGATTGCTTGGGGGAAACCCAAGGCAAGTAAGGTTGGTTGTTACTTTGTTCCCTTAAGGGTAGATTAAACCAACCAGCCAAGCACACAGTAGGACAGCAGTCTGACATCTTAATCACCTCAAGATGTGTCATTAGCTCTGGCTGTGAGGTCCAGCCTGAGTTCCGATCTCTTATAATGTGAAAGATATTTTTGTAATCTTGTACTGCCACTGCGCATGCATGGGGTGTGGCGATCCACAAACAGGGCAGCTTTCCACAGACCATCAGGTTGATGGAAACAACACACTTACACACTGTTAAAACTCAGTGTTCTACTTTGGATCTTCAATGTCACCTCCAAGGGCCATGTGTGGAAGGCTGGTATCTGGTCTGTTGTTGTTCTGGTCTGTTGGTCATGGATGGAACCTTTAAGAGGTGGAACTTAGTGTGAGGAAGTCAGTTCACTGGGGATATGACTCTGAGGGGATACCAGGACCTGTCCGTTCTTTTTCCTCCCTCTTTTTACTCCTGCCATTAGGTAAACAGCTCCTTCCGCCACACACTCCCACCATGGCATGCTGCCTCAACGCAGGCCCAAAAGCAATGTGGCTAATCAACCATGGACTGAAACATCTGGAACAGTGAACCTAAATAAATATTTCTTCATTATAAGTTGATTGATCTCGCACTTCCGGCGTGGCTATGGCGGCTAATGGCAACCACAGACCTGTCCTAGCTCTTGCCACTAGAGCTTGTGGACAAGTGTATAGGATAAAGAATTCACGTCGTGATGAAGAGTGATAAAGAAATTGTTGGGACACTTCTGGGATTTGATGGCTTTGTCTGTATGGTATTGGAAGATGTCACAGAGTTTGAAATTACACCAGAAGGAAGAAGGATTACAAAATTAGATCAGATTTTACTAAATGAAAATAATACACGGATGCTGGTTCCTGGAGGAGAAGGGCCTGAAGTATAAGTGGATTTCCTTGACTTATTCTGGCTTTTTAAAAACCTTTATTGTTTAGATTCTATAAAATGAAGTTTCCGTTAAAAGGAAATACTTTGAATATATACACCCATTTTTCTAAGCTAATCATGGTTATTTTGGGAAAGGAAGAGTTTTGTTTTTTTTTAAAGACAAAAAAATAAAGACATTTTTGGTTAAAAAAAATAAGTTGATTGAGCTCAGCTATTTGTTACAGTATCCTACCATACTGTAGATATGCCTACAGTATCTGTGTTAGGCACATTGTAGCCGCTCATACATTATAACCCTTGTTCTTAGGCAAGAAGAGGGGAGGACATTGAGCTAAAGGAGGATGATAACACACACACCCGTGCACACATGCACGCATGCACACACGCACACTATGGAGAGAAAGAACTTGAATAAACTTATGGAAAAGAGAAAAGAGTAAAGGGAAAGAGGCAGAATAAAAAAGAAGGAAGCAATGGAGAACAGGTAGATAGAGCTAATAATGGAAGGGGGA